CAATCGCTCTCCGTGGGCGGGTCCAGAGCCGCGTGGGGGTGTGTCTCCAGCCCAAGCCAAGCAGCGCCCAGTCACGGAGCGTCTGGGCTGCTGGTGACTGGGACGTGCAGTCCAACGTCCCCAATTTTTGAGGCGGACAAATGAGGGCTTGGGGTCTAGAACATTCTTAAGCCTAGATATGCTTTGTTCAAGGAACTATGAGGAGAGGGTTCCTCTCCTGCCATTGTTTTCTTGCCTGTCCAGACAGGGCTCACTTTTTAGGGGCCCTGACCAAGATGGGGATAGGAACCTGATCCATCTCAGCCAGGCACGTGTGTTTGCAGGGCCCTGGGCAGCTCCCTGCCCTCTCTGGGCCTGGCGTGTGCTCTGCAGAGACCTTCTGAGGAATTTAGAGCAGGGATGCAGTGGAGTGTCAAGTTCTCAGGAAGACCTCTGTTCCTAGCCCTGCCAGATCCCTTGGCCCCTCTGAGCCTCAGTTTCCTCATCTGTGCGATGGGGACTCTGAGAGATACTGCGAGGGATCGATGTGGTGATGTGTGCGTGAAGCCTGCTCAGCACGGGGTCCGGCTCCAGTGGATGTGAGCGCTCCCTCTTGCTCCAGGGTGTGAACCAGAGGTTACACTCCGGGCGTCTGCAAGTGGGTTTTGCTTGGCCCACCCAATGTGTTTCAGTATATAAATTTGTTGACATTTCAAGACTGAGAAATTCACATAAGAAGCTGGATCCCCAGTTCCTCTTGAAAAAATGGGGAGATTTGGCATCAGGGCGGCTGCATTCTAGGGTGAGGAGGAGCGACCTCCACCCATTGTAACAGCTCACGCCTGTCCCCGCGCCCTGACAGAGCACTCTGGGCAGCAAGGAAGCCAGTGTTTCCTGAGCATCCTACTGTGTGCCAGGGACTGCAGCAGCTGCTGTGCCCACATATTGCACCCAATTATCACTGTAAGTCATCAATACCTTAGTTCGCCAATGAGGAAATGGAGGGTCCGAGATCTGTGATGGGGTTGTCCAAGCTCACAGTGGTAGCAGGTGGCACAGCTGGCACTTCTGATCAGGACCCGAGTCACTCTTCTCTGTTCCGCCCTCTGCCTGGCGCAGGGTCCGTGGAGAGACCCGGCTCTGGCCTGCAGACAGGCTGAGAGATGGATTTCAGTGTGTGGTGTCAATGCCTGTGGTTCTCATCCTTCACCTGCAGACCCCCGGCGGTGGGGGGCTGTGGAGTTAGGGTAGGGATCCAGGAATCAGTGTGCACACCTGGAATTCTTGGAATAAAACTCTCCCACCTACATACTTATAAGATGATGGTAGATTTAAAATTTTTATTATAAAAATGTTCAAATATAACAATAGAAGAAAACTGGAGTGAAATAAACCCTCGAGTATGCATCACCCAGACTCAGCAATTATCAGTATTTTGACCTGTTTGCTTCATTTACTCTTTTTGTTGTTGTTGTTGTTTCTCTTTTCTTTATGGGTTTATTTCAAAACCATTCTGGCTCCTCATGTCACCTGCATGTACTTCAGTGTAGACCTCTAAAACCAGTGGTGTGCCGGAGCCAGCCGGTTCCGGCTGCTAAGAGCTGGTAGTACTCATTTCTTTTTAATTCTGATTCCAGTGATGTCACGGTGGTAGCTTGAAATCAGCCACGGGGGGAGCATTTATACCACGGAAATCAGCAGACTCGACACACCAGGGCTCCCCTCCAAATCCCACCCCAGAGAAGTGGTGGTTAACCATTCCCACCACCGTCTAAAAGACACAGGCGTGTTCTTACATAATCACTGTGCTATTATCTCTTCTAATGAAACGAATGCTAACATTTGAGTCCGATGTCTCCCACGGTTTAAAAAGAACGTGTGTTCACAGGCTGCTTGTCTAATCAGGACTCAAACAAGGTCCCGCTGTGCCATTTGGTCGTCAGGTCTCTTAAGTTTTGTTAATCCAGGGCATGCCCCTCTGGCTGTCACCTGTGGCCGTCTCCTGCCCTTGGTCCTGGCAGGCACCAGGGTGGTTGATCTGCAGAGGGTCCCCATTCCGCGTTGGCTGTGTGTGCTCATAGCTGAGGTGTTCCTCTGAGCCCACCTTTCCTGTCTTTAAAGTCTGAAGAGATTCAGGTCAACTTTTTGTGGTTGTTTTGGAGGGAGCCGGAAGACTCCATAGGCGGTGCTGGGTTGTACAATCAGTGTTTCAGTGCTTATGGATGATGTGTGATGAAGGAAATGCGGAGTTATTGAAAAGCATTTTAACATTTATGGCGGCTTTTCGTTATTTTATTATCCACGGACAGTGCAAGTACACGCGCTGTGGGTTCTCCGGCTGTGAAGGAGGGGCTTCCGAGTCAGGAGAGCTGGGTCCTTCCAGCTGGGCCTCGCCAGTCTGGGCAGGTCTTTCTACATTCCGGTCTCAGGGATGAGGAACTGCCCGTGGGAGTGCATCCCCAGATGCTGTCCCGTGGATGGTCAGGTATCCCTACCTCAGGTCTAACTGCAGGCTCTCCTGCTTCAGGCGCAGCCCACCTTCTCTACCCAGAACCCTGGAACTTCTTAACTTCCTGTCTCTCAAGTCTCTTCCAGCTCTGAGGAGCAAAGCAACCTGTGATCGCAGGACTCTAAATCCTGTGCTTGAAGTGGTGACCGTTTCACCCAGACGTGGTTGTGATCTCACGTCCCTAGCCCCAGAAGGAGTTGTGCAGACCTCCTCCATGCCCCTGAAGGATGGGGGCCCTCACGGGTCAGGGAAGAGAACGCTCGCCTTTGCCTGCTGTCCTGGAGTCCCCCTGTGCACCCTGGCTGGCAGGTCTGTGGTCTTGTCCCCCTACCCAGTGTCATGTCTTGGTTCTCATCTCCAACAGGACTCCTGTCCCTGCCCACTCTTCCCATCTGGATCAAATCCCGGAACCTGGTTCCTCTCCACCGTTGTCCTCTTGTCTGCTCCTTTGGGCCCGACCCCACCTCCCGGAGTCAGCCCGGAGCTTGCTCTTTCCTCCCAGAAACAGGGAGCTGTGGTGAAAACGCTTCTTGTGGCTGAGCATTCTGCTTGAGCTTTGAAAAGTAGCTTGGTCTAGAAGCAGTGCTTGTTCCTTCGGGAAGCAAAGAGGCATCTGGGGAACACGACAGCTTCCTTAGAGCCATGCCATGGGCCAGACATTTGAATCTGAACCTGTGTTGAAGCTGCTCTTAGGTCCCAACCCAGGTAACAAACTCCTCGGGTGCGGAAAGGCCCTGTGAGCCCTGTCCCCTGCACTTGGCAGCGACCTAAAGCAGCTCATTGGCCTGAAGGGTCTTGGGGGTGGGCACTGTGAACTTGGCTTTTTCTCAGAGGTAAATCACCTCCCCTCCAAGGCCTCAGACACCTGTAATCCTTGAGTCTCAGAGAAAAGGTCTGACCCGAAAAGAAACATTCAAGGTAAGTTAGAAAAGGCATTCTGTTAACTTCATGGTAACAAGGAATTTAATCAACAGCTAAGGGTTACTGCACAAGGTGCTAAATAGCTCCTGAGTGTTTATTTTCTTGACTTGTGTTTATTAAAGCCTTTAAAAAAGTGGATTGCTAAGATGTTTTAGTAGAGGACTTAATTTTCTTTTTTTTTAAAGATTTTATTTTTATTTATTTTTAGAGAGGGAAGGGAGGGAGATAGAGAGAGAGAGAGAAACATCAATGTGTGGTTGCTGGGGGCTGTGGCCTGCAACTCAGGCATGTACCCTGGCTGGGAATCGAACCTACGACACTTTGGTTCGCAGCCCGAGCTCAATCCACTGAGCTACGCCAGCCAGGAGGACTTAATTTTCTTAAATATTCCCAAGTAGAATGAGTGATGTTCATTTGTCTGTGTGCTTATATCTGAAAACCAACTTTCTGGACAAGGGATAGCAGTGGAGACAGCTCCCCGAGCTGTTTTCCTTTAGCAGCAACCTGTGCCCCTATTAGATAGGCACAAGCAAAGGCCCTGTGGTCAGCTGGCCTTGGGACTGACCCAGGCATGTCCTTCACTGGCTGTGTGGCTTTCAGAAAATCATCCGCAGTCCCTCCATCTCTTTGCTGTCTTCCTCCCATCCCTCCTCCTTCTCCCCTCTGTCTGTTTCCCTTCTCTCTCCCACCTCCCTCCCATCTTCCTTCCAGACCTTTGCAGGTGCGGTTTGCCTGCCAGGAATGCCCCTCAGCCCGCCCTTTATTGGGCTAGTTCTCGTCCGGGTATCAGCTTACATGTCATGTCCCCGAAGGCTTCCTTGGGCTCCTGGTTACAGACTCTCCCTCGGCCCCCTGGACTTTCTCTTTGAAGCACTGTCAGCCCCGTGTGAACGATTATTAAATAGTTATTTGTAAAATTATCTGTGAAATGTGCATCTTCCCGTGGACCATGATCTCCAAGGGGGCAGGAGTCGTGACCGTTTCGCATGTCGCTGTGTCCCCGGTGCTAGGGCGTGCCTGGCACGTACATGATGCTGGGCAAACAGGTGACGTGCAGTTCTCTAAGCCTCAGTTTTTTCATCCAAAGACAGGCCTATGAGTATCTTTTTTTAAAAAATGGGAACGGCTCTGCCTCGTGTGGCTCAGAGGATTGAGTGCTGGCCTGTGAAATGGAGGGTTGCTGGTTCGATTCCCAGCCAGGGCACATGCCTGGGGTGCGGGCCAGGTCCCCAGTTGGGGGTGTGTGGGAGGCAGCTGATCAATGTTTCTCTTGCACATTGATGTTTCTCTCCCTCTCTTTCTCCTTCATTTCCCCTCTCTCTAAAAATAAATAAATAAAATTTATTTAAAAAATTAAAAAAATAAAAAATGGGAACAGATATACCTGAGAAACATTAGTTTCTTTCCTATTCTCACTTCTTGCAAAAAGCTCAAAAAGAATCAATGGTCTTTTGAATTGTTAGCCTGAAAAACCTGCCGCTCAAGGGGCAAACGCACAGTTGGAACCGTGATGCAGGAGTGGTTGAGGCAGCCTGGGTTCCGCCCCAGGAGGGTGGACCAAGGGCTCTCTCGGATCCCGTGGTGAGGGAGTGCTTTCTCATGGGGACCGGAGAACTGGTTTGCCTGTGTGTGCAGGACCCGGGGCTGGACTGAGCAACCCACAGAGAATTGTGGGGACCCCAGTCTGCCCTGGGAGTGGCCTTGGAGGTGGAAAATGCTGGCAAAACTTCTTGGCGAGTCAGGGACGACTTCCTGGTGGAGGTGATGTCTAAGTTCAGGCCTGAACGGTTAGTAAGGTCCGCTTGGCTAACAGTGAGGGACAAAGTGCGTGTTCTCAGCTAAGTGCCCAGCACATGCAAAGGCCTGCAGGTGGGATGCATGGTACGTCTGCGGAAGGGAAGAAGTTCAGAGTGGTGGGTGGGCAGAGATGGGGGAGTGGGTGGGTCCGAGATGAAGTGGGAAGAAGTCCAGGGTAAGAGCAGAGGGGGGAGGCCACCTAACATGTTGGGAATGGCCTGAAGGAGACTAGGCTTGTGGGATGCCGTGTGTGTGTGTGTGTGTGTGCGCGCGTGTGTGCACATCCATGTACATCTATGTGTCGGGGGCAGCTGGGAGGGCAGCACTCTCGGCCTCCAGCCAGGGAGGCATCCCCACAGATGCAGACGCCCCGGCACTGGCGTGTCAGAAGCCCGCCCGGGCAGGAGCAGCTGCTTCTAAATCAAGGCCAAAGGCAGCCGAGGGGCCGGGTTGGGTTTGGTGGCTCTGCCGTATAGGCTGATGTGGGGGCTGGGACTGAGGGGGGCTCTCTGTTAGGGATTCTGGGCCAGAATGAGTCCGGCTGGTTTGGAGAAGTTTATTTTGGAAGCTGGAATGATGCAAAATTAAGTGGGGAGGAAAAAATAGATGAGGCGGCGGTGAGGGTCTGTCTGTGGCTGGCGGGGTTGAATGTGTCCAGCTAGAAGAGCGTTGTTGAGTAAACAGATGGGGGTGGCAGTTTTTCTGCATGTCTGCTATAAATACCCCGGAGCTCGGCCGGCCTCGCTGGGGTTTCCTGGCATCGTGGGTGTGGAGATCAAGGTGCAGACATGAGGCACTTCCGGGAGCAGCCAGGGGTGGCCAGGGCATTGCTCAGATCCCACCCTCCCCGGGGCGGGGCGGACAGGGGTGGAGTGGGCACTGAGGTCTGAGGCTGGGGCCCTGGGCGGGGGTGGGAGGTGCTGCTTCCCTACCAGCTCCCTGTGGATCCCGGGCAAGTCTCATGACCTCTGTGAGCCTTGGTTTCCTCACCTGTGTGATGGGGACGATACACTAGGGCGAGGGAAGTCCTGCCAGCACAGCATAGCAGCGTGGACACTGGGGACACTCAGCGGTGGACCCTCAGGAAGCGCTCTCTCTCGTGGTCTGATGTCTTAGGTTCTGTGCGAGCTGGGTGAGTTCTGTCATTTCTCTGCATCTCAATTTACTCATCGAAAATGTAGGAGAAAGTCTGGAGGCCGGAGTGGTCCCTGAGGGGTCTCTCTTGCTTCTACACTCTTATAGCATTTCCCAATGACATTAACAGGGATGGTAACGGCCATGCCCACAGCAGGCCTGCGACCATCCAGGGACTTTGAAGACGAAGTTATCTAAGTTCACTGTTATCTCAGTTAATTTTCCCAACCATCCCATCTGCTCTGAGCCACAGAGAACCTGAGGCTCAGAGAGAAGGACCTGCTTGAAGGAACAGAGCTGGGCTCTGGAGGATCCTTCATCCAGGCCGTGAGGAGTCAGTGAAGATCAGCCACGTGCCGGGTCCTGAGCCGGTTGTGAGAGATCCAGCGAGTCAGTCCCTTCGTCCGTGCGGGAGGTGGGCTTCCAATCTGTGCAGGAGCGAAACGCAGGCGGGCGTCCAGCGTGCAGTGTAGCCGGAGCCTCCTGTTCTCCTGCATCTTCGGTGGATGTATTTGGGCTCCTCCCTGACCGAGAGATTTTATGATCCGACATCCCCAGTGCTGGCCCCTAGCTGACAGGTTCCTGCTGAAATGAATAAAGAGCCAGTCAATTCAGTTCATCAAAACTACTCTGGGCAGGACTGGTGCTGGCCTCTGGGGAGCCAGGGCTGATTGAGACGGGGACAAGGGGATGAAATCACCCTCCTCGTACGTGTCTATGTGTCGTGATGGAAGAAACAGCCCCAACTTTCCCAGAGCACCCATTTTACAGATTAGGAAACTGAGGTTCAGTGAGGTGAAGTGACTTGCCCAGGAACACTCAGTTGGGGCCTATGTGGCGGGGCCTGGAACCTGCCAGACTTCAAACCTAATGCTTCCCTGCATGTGGGGAGGGGCCCTGGCCTGGTGGGAGAGGCCCCCAAGGCCCCCGGCAGCCCCCGAGGCCCACACCTGCGTGTCAAGCTTGGCAGTCAAGCTCTGGCCAGGGGAAAAGCAGGCACTGTGCCCTTTCCCCCACTGCCCATTATGAAAGGGCTGCCTGCAGTCTATGGGTAGAAAGGAGTCGGTACAGAGTTTCTGCACTCAGCTCTGGGGCTTGGGAACCCTCTGTCTCTGAGCCTCAGTTTCCCTCTGTAAATGATAACCTCCAGGGAACATTTCAGCTTGCATGCCCCGCATCTCTCCTGCAGCGTGGCCTGCCCTTGGGGCTGTGAAGGCACAGTTGGAAGCAAGGGTCCGTCAGACAGGACCGGGACAGGGTTCACGCCCCAGCCCCCAGGGAGGCTTGTGCTCACGGCTGGCTCTGACGTCTGCACCCACAGCACGCAGAGTGAATGCATTCCCTTAGGCTTCTGGGACCCCTGGGTTGAGGAGATGGGCCAGGGCCTTGCATTCTCTGCTTCTCCTTCCCACCCAGTCCTCATCCCAATGACTCAGGGGACAGTGCTCCCTCGTAGCTGGAGAAGGACATGTAGCAGCATTAGGGCTGTTCGTAAATATTCAGGTTCTCCTTGTTCCAGATGCGTGGGGGGTGTGGTGGGGAATGCACTCCCCACTCCTTGAACTTAGGAGTAGCCATGTGACTGGCTTCTGCCAATGAAATGTGACAGCAGGCTGCAACCAGCAAGATGGGGGTGGCTTAGGTCCTGAGTGAGGACACTGTGGGGCAGAGCCCCTGCTAACTCACAGGCAGGTGGTGTGGACAAGAACAGGAACTAAACCTTTACAGGTTAGAGCCACTGAGGCTTTGGGGCTGTTCGTTACTCCGACATCACCCAGCGTATCCTGACGCATAGGTTTGGGGTGTGATGGTGGGCCAGATGGGACAGCAAGAGGCTGCAGCCTTGGGATTAACCGATTATTCCTCCTAGCTTCTTTTATTTTTTCATACATTTATCCATCCATTCACTCATTCTTCCATCTGTCTGTCCATCCATCAGTCTGTTCGTCTCTCTATCCGTCCACCTATCCACCCATCTATCTGTACATTCATCCATTTGTCAGTCCGTCCATCCATCTGTCCATCCATCTGTCCATCCATCCATCCATCCATCCATCCATCAGTCCATGCAAGGATTCAAACTCAGGTCACCTTGACCATGAAGACCAATTTCTTCTGTTGTGCCAGGATGTGTCTTTGGCAAAGACACACCCTCCTCCCTGCCTGCCTGAATCCTCTCTGTCCCCAGCTCCTGCCCAACCCTCCCTCCTTCCTGACCAGCTCCAGCCCAGCCCCAGCCCCAGCCAGGGGGTCAGGGGGCCAGAGGCCCACAGAGCCCCTGCCACCAAAGCTGGCCCAGAAACATGTCCGCTGAGTCCCAGCCTGGAGGCACAACTGGGCTTTGCCAGAGAGAGCCGAAGCATCGTGGGGATTTGCCAGCAGTGGTCCCAAGACCTTGATTTCCCCAAATGGCCCCAAGGACCCTTGTCCTTGGCAGGCCTCATCTGTCCACGTTGGGCCTGGCAAATGTGATCACCCTAGAAATGTGCACCCAGCATCCCAACCCCACTCTCGGCTCTTCCAGAGCTCAGAGCTGCTGTAGGGTCAACCTTGAAACCCAGACCTTATTTTTTTTTTAAAAAGGAGGCAGAGCCTTAAGGTAGGGACAATTGAGTTTTAGTGAAACTGTCACATGTGGTTTGGTTAGGGGAGCCACTTAATAAGCCTCTGCCGTTTCCTCCAGGGCCTCCCTAGCAGTGGTCGCAGAAGTGCTGAGAGCAGAGGCTTCCCTCCGTCTTGGGAGGCAGGGTGGCCTGGTGGTGAACCCTGGGCTTGAATTTCTTTTCACCGTTGTGAGGTCCCCGAGCCTCAGTTTTCACATCTGTAAAATGGGGGTTTCCTCAGCTTGTAGACTCATTGTGAGACATGATGGGATAGTAAAAGTGTGTAACATACCGTGCATGTAGTTAGGTATGCAATAGATTGTAGTTACTATCGATAGTGGCAGTGCCGTGCATGGCACGGGACCTCGCTCAGTAACAGACGTGCCGAGATTCTGTGGCAGAGTGGGGTGATGCGGCGGTGGTAGTTTTGAACTGAGTGAAGTCCAGTTTGTCCTGTGGGGGAAGCTGAGACCCTGGGGAAATGCTGGGACCAGGATCAAGGGCACAGCTCAGTGCACATTTATTAAAAGAAGGGAAGTATTTTCTTCTTTTTTAAAAAGATTTTATTTATTTATTTTTAGAGAGGGAAGGGAGAGAGAAAGAGAGAGAGAGAAACATCAATGTGCGGTTGCTGGGGGCCATGGCCTGCAACCTAGGCATGTGCCCTGACTGGGAATCGAACCTGTGATGCCTGGTTCGCAGCCCGCGCTCAATCCACTGAGCTATGCCAGCCAGGGCAGTATTCTCTTCTAAAACTCCTACTGAGTGCCAGGCCCTAGGGTGGGCAGAGTAGGTCCGTGATTTCTCGGGAGCTTGCATGGGCTCTCAGAGGGACCGTTAGCCCCATTCTGCAGATGGTGCAACTGAGGCTCAGAGAGGCCAAGGATCTGGTCAAAAGTCAGACAGCAAATCAAAGGTGGGGATGCCAGCCCAGGCCCCTGTCTGCCCCGATGCCAGAGCTCCTTCTTGCACAGACGGCACTCAGGCCTCTGTGCTGCTCACTCTCTCCGGCCCAGGTCCAGTGTGAGTGGCTTTGGCAAAGCCTCTTGTCTGTCCCACAGGAGACTTGCCTTGCCCGGGGGCTTGGCTTTGGCCAACAGCCCGCTGGAGTGTGGGCTCAGGTCTGCTCTGGGGCAAATGGGTCAAGCTCCCTGGGGGTCCGAGGGCCAAAGGAAGGTGGCAGGAAGTGGCCAGTGGGTGCAGGTGGCAGCGGCACTGGGGAGTCAGCGGGTTGCTTCCCAACACCTCGTTCT